TATGCTCAATCTTTGACGGTTTAATTCCATTGGTTCCATTGGGTCTTTGTAGACGAACTGTACTCGGTAAACAAGCTCCCACTCGATTCACTGTCTTTAGATCCAAAACAAGTCCGTGTACGTAGTGAGGAATGATGTTTTACTGAGTTATGTACATAATTTCATCTTTTGCTCAAAGTTTTGATTAAGTACCACATTGCCTAAATGTTACTTTGTTCCTGTGAACCTTTTAAGTTATTTATGTAATTTGACACATTTTTTTGCAACGCTTACGCTTCAAACGTTGTACGTGGTCCAAAAAGAATTTGCTAGGATTTTTCTTATGTTGTGTGGTTTGAGAATTTTTGGACTTTTGCACCTCCATTTGTTATCATGTTTTTTATGGAGGGTTTCTTTCTCTTGCTCATACCTGCAAGAGGTGTGCTTTGGACACAAATTTGCTTTAAGTCAAAACTAATTTTCTTTTACACCTTTTTAAATAAAACTTCTTTGTAGACCATGGTGATTCGGGGAGTACTACACCCGATGCGGCTTCTATGTGTAGCGATCGCCGAGGTAGTTTTGATAAAATGTCGGGATCGCGAATTTTTACACGTGGTGGTGGTGCAGGAGGAGGATTTTCAGGAAACAGGTAATGATTTTTTGTTGTCTCAGCTGATTTTTTTATGTAATGCTTACTATCTACCATTTTTTCGTTACTTCCTAAATTATGGATTTATATCTGCTTCTACAGGCAAGTTTACCATGCTGGACGAAACGATATTGCCAATTCAACATCGAGCGGAAAACGAAATACACGAGATTATAGCAATCGACAGAATTCACGAACACAGGTCTGAATGAATATGCATTTGAAATGTCTCCTGTTCTATTTTCGTTTCGTATACCATTTTCTCAATTGGTCCATTTAGGGGAATCGTGATGGCTACAACGAACGACATAATTCTAAATATTCTTATGTGAGAACTATTGAATGTCGTAACTAGTATGCAAAAGCTTTTGAGGCTCTAAGATGTGAAATTTAGAATTCTACGCAATCACTCTATGATCCCCAACAACCAGGAGGTTATCTAAGTTATCAACCTAATTTTAATCGAAGGCGAGGGAAGCCGGAACAAGGCAGAGCTCCATCGCCGATGCGGTTTAGAAGAGC